ACAGTGTTTCTATGTAAAGCCACATTGAGATGAGTTTTTATTTTATGCTTCAGCTTTCACGTTAAACTTTATATCTGACTTTCATGACTCTCACCTTTCCCTCCGTGTAAGGCTGCTCAAAGCCAGTTTCTGAAAAATAACCCTGGACAGCACAGCAAGCAAACACAGGAAACTCAAGGAACCATACAATCATGTCTATATTTCTCACAAGTTGTTGAGCCTAAATCCATATTTCTTCAGGATCAAAGAGGCTGGAAGCACAGAAGGGTTATCTGCATCCAACATTCAAGACACCAGCCCTGTGGTATCTTCTTATTTATATCTTAGCTGTGTGCAAAAGAACAACAACGTTACTAGTTGCTCTCTGCCTCATCGTTTTTTTGACACAACTATTTAAAAAAAATCAGTTTGGTGTTTTCTCACCCAGTGGAGAGGCACATAAACGTCACTAAATTGTAAAGCAGCAGCAATATCAAGTAAAGTACCTTCTACCTTTTTCATATGCTGGCCACGTACAGTGTACTGTAAGCTCGGATTAGATAACACACCTGGGAATAGGCATCAGTATGATGCTCAAGATGCTCAAGAACCTAATGAGTCATGTTCTCCACTACCAGCCCCGTCAAACACACTAATACACACACACACACACACACACTCCCTCTCTCCGACGGTTCTCTGATCTTTGGTCCTTGACATGTTGTCATATATACAGAATTTGTCTTGTGAGTAAACGTGTGTGTGAAAGTGATGAAGGCAACACAGAACGAGTTATATCAGAAAGTCTCCACACAATTTATTTTTTTTGTCCAAATGAATTCTGTCAGTAACCCTAACAAAGAAGCATGTCGGTCATTTTAAACTTTAAAGAGACAGGACTGCTCACATCTAAATCCTCCATGCACGGGTTGCATGCAAACATATTATATGCTCTGCTGGCCATAGTTTCTAATTCTGCTGACTTTTAGCTATAGAGATATAAAGTGAAACCATTACATTGTTCAACTGAGTTTGAATCCTCATTTAAAAATATTACCTTAGCACAAGTAATAAAAAAATTTATCCAGCTCCAATTATGCAGATTTAACCTTCTTTTGTAGCTTCAGCAAACACTTTTCCCACCATCTAGCCTTGATTGCTGCACCCTCTCTAGCTTGATAGAGCGCCGCGCTAAAGAATGGAGAGCACTAAGGTGGAAGAGCTTTTTAGATTTACAGGTCAAAAATCATTAAAGGATAATCTGCATGAATAAGAAAAACACCGTACTTACAATTTAATACAGTATATTATATGTATTTAAACATTAATTGAAATGGCGACTTTATTATAGTAAAATTTAATTAGTATGAAACGCACATTTCATTGTGGATCGTTTTCACTGGGACTTAGTCTGCATCAGTTTAGCCTTCAGTCCTTCTGTGGAGAAGCTTCCCCTCGCAGGCCTGCTTGTCTGTCTGTCAGCAGCCAACAGCGATACTAGACACACAGTTGTTGCCTGGGTTAGCTATGTGGGGAAAAAAAAACAACTAATGAAAACAGAAAAGTCAGACAACCACCTCAGAAGTGATCATTGCCTTGTACTGACATACAATTGGAATGGAAAATCAGGACAGCTGTACAATCAGGACAGTGATATATTAAAGTTGATATACTGAATGTTGGTTTGTTCATTTCCATTTCTTTGAACACTAAGTTCTACCCACAGATGCTATATTTAATATTTAAAACCCTCTGAAGGGGAAACAGAAAGAGACACGTGGCGATGTGGTGATGGAGAACACTGGCTCACAACTGATTGGGTGCTAAATATTTATTAGAGCTTTACCTTCACAGTCGGAGCCCAGACTGTCCACTAGCCATCAGCCATCAACCGTCAGCAACACGGAGACGAGCGAATTGCTTTATACGCGGACTAAACGCTGCACCGAGTGACTCCACACATAAAACGTGTCAAACCTCTGCCTTAAACGTAGTTTAACAACAAGCTGTCAGAATTCCATCTCATTCCTACATCAGGTTAGTTTGCAGAAATCTGAAGTGCCTATTGTTGACAACCTTTAAGGATTATGCTTGCAGCTAAAGACATCATTATGGCCTTGGTGTTTTCTGAGGTCTGAAATAGCGCCCCACAAAAATGAATGTTGCTTCTAGACTATTAATGAAAAATGGTTGCAGTGAAAGTATCAAGTAGTCAAAGAGAAAGAGAGGGAAATATCTAAAAAAAACATCAATTTCATGTTGGAGATTACTTTTTCTCCCTTCTAATAATCCTGTCACACTTTACTCTGTAACTACTGCAAAAAAAGGTCTGATATGATCAAACTTGTGGAAGTTGGCAGATCTGCTTTTCTTTGATTTTTGTCATAATTGCAAACAGGAAGTTGTATCTGGCAAAAACTATTCTGGTTTCTTCCCTCTTTATAGATGATTTTACAAACTAAGAGTATTTAAACTCAGAGGGTTAAAAAGATATCTCCTTGCATAACAGTTCCTAAAAAAAGAGATGAATGGAAAAGGGAAGAAAAAATATATATATATACATATATATACATTTATGTCTTTTCCAGTGAAACTTGAACTCTCATCGGTCTTTGATTTGTGTCTCTAGGTGCTATCGGTGGAGTGTGTGCGCTGGCTAATGTGCTGGGCCAGGAGCTATGTGAGTTGGAGCGTCTGTGTGTGTCCGGGCGTTGGGAGGAAGCCAGAGTCCTGCAGCAGCGCCTTATCGAGCCCAATGCCGCTGTGAGTACCATCTGCTGCTCATTGCGCGCTTTTATCCACCGCAGACATGAACTCCCACAAATGGTGCCAGACTGGAGGTTTAGTCACATTTCTTAGAGGTAAAACTGTTCTGCCTGAAATACTCTTACTGATTGCACTCTGGGCCAAGAAGACAAACCTGATTTTTTCTCTCTGCTGTATTTATAGATAATCTGATGTTAAACTCAACACAAATGTTACTTCCTCTATGAACTATTCATGCAAAGTCCAGTGCACTCAGAAAAAAGCCAGCTTCCTTCTCAGACACAAATGATTCTTTTGGGGTTTTTTATAAACAACAGACACTGACGGCATAAGCTGCTTAAAGTTAACCTTAACCTTACCTTTGGTTCGTCTTACGCCTGTTAGCACACAGGGCAGCTTATGATCGCCAACAAATACGGTCATTCAAAGCCAGCTGATGCCAACAATGTTCAGATCGTCAGTGAACATCCACCTCAAATGATCTTTTGGTTGGCCTTTCTTATGTCTACCCATTCATGGAGTCCAGGTCATGGTGGTCTTTGCAAATTGTTCAGGAGATACAGTGGCTTGCAAAAGTATTCGGCCCCCTTGAACTTTCCCACATTTTGTCACATTACA